CACCAGTAGCCCTTCCGTCCTGTCCCGTCCCGTTGCACCCACCACTGGCACTATGGGGATCAGGGAGAGGCGGCAGAAGGAAGCAGGAGTCGTGCTGAGCTGGGGCTACAGTTGTGCTTCTGAGTAGATCAGAGAGTGAGGATCTTTAGTGACCTAGGGAGAGGCAAGCAGCCCCTCCATGCTTGCTGTGTGCCTTAAATGCCATCTCCTGTCCCTTCCAGGCCTATGGGCTTCCTTCTACTTTGCCCCAGCCCTGGCAGCCAACAGGTCCCTAGTCCCTTTCTGCTCCCTGGGAATGCCTGGTGTTCCTGAGAAGACTGAGCAGGCCTGCGGTGTGAGTGCCTCCCGAGGCCTCCTGATTCCAAGCAGGTGCTCTTCCCCAGTGTGGAGCCACCCACTGCTGCTGAGGTTGACAATCGAGGGCAAGATGTTCAGGGCTTAGTGCTGGGGTCTCCCAGGCCATGGCTCCATGGCCACCACTGTGGCAAGTTGGCAGGGTGCGGGTCAGAATCCAGACGTGCTGCTGGCCCTGCCCCATGCCTCCAGTCACTTTTGCATGAACAAGCACCCATTTCTTCTGGTCATGGGACTTGGTCAAGTGGACACCAGGATCTCTGTGCTTCCTCAACCCAGTTGTCACAGCAGAAGAGAAGGCAGAGCAACAGCTGCAGGCTGGGTACAAGTTTGTATCAACTTGCTCTGAACCCCTCCTGGGTTGTTTTTTTTTTTTTTTTTTTGTTTGTTTGTTTGTTTGTTTGTTTATCAAAAAGGAGCTATGGGCTGTTCTACCCCCCTCTCCTGTTTATCTGTGCTGTAAATAGAGAGGGGTCGTCCGTGAACAGCCCCTTGGCCATCTCCCTCTGGCAGCAGCCAGGGAGGTTGTTTAAGGAGTATGTGTGGAGTCAGGCTTGTGAGCAGTCGTGTGGGTCTTCGGTTTGTTTCTCCTTTGCAGGTCCTTTCATTTCAGACTTTGCCTCCTGCCTCCTGTCCCTCACCAGCTCTGAGTGCTGCTGTGTGTGAGTGGCGGGCACTGTGCACACAGGGCCCTTCCTCCAGCCCTCCCTCTGTAGCACAGGCTATCAGGCCTGGCCTGCTGGTACTACATCAGACAACAGGTCTGTGGTCTGGAATCTGCAAGTGGTCAAGCAGGAGCTGGACAGAAGGGAAGGCTCACCTTCCAGATCTAGAAAGACCAGGACCTCCTGTAGTCCTGGAAGCCTTCAGCGGCCAAAGCAAAGGGTTGGGGCAGCTCTGGAGCCTCCGCATGGGGACAGCGAGGAGTGATGCGTGGGTTTAACTTATTAGCCAACAGGCTTCCCTAGTCACCGGCCTCTGGATGAGGCTGAGCCCAGTGCTCACTGCAGCCCGGCTTCCACATGTCTGTTTCTCGGGGGTGGGGGACTGGGAGAGCTGTGGAGATCAGTCTTTATAAGCATTCTGAGTGGCATGGACAATTTGGTTCTCAGCAGAGGCCAGCTCTTACCTCTGGGTATGGTATGGCCAAGGCTAGGGCAAGCAAATGCCATAGGCTGACACTTGAACCAAGACACCTGCTCAATGCCTGCCTCCCAGTGTGAAGCTGTAATATAAATCCCCCACTAACCTGTTGGACAGTGGCATCTTCCTACAGACATTACAGGCGCGTAACTTTTATATGAAAAAATAAACAGACAAAAGCCCGTCTGATACCGTCTGTGTCCAGGCTTTCTGTGCGAGACTGCATTGGGCCAGTCCCTGCCTACTTGTGATCTATCTGAAGGGGAGGGGATGAGATGGTGCCTAAGACTCTGGCAGACGTTCTGTCCTCAGGCCCACTCTTGTGGTTGTGGTCACTCTGGCTGAGTAGACAGATAATACCAAGATCTCCCCTCCTCAGAACCTGCCTCCACCTCCATCTGCTACCATCCCTGTTCATAGTCCCAGGAACATTCAAACTGAAAGAAACTGGAGAATGGCTGAGTGGATACAGGCGCTTGCCACCACTGACAACCTGAGTTCAATCTCTGGGACCCATGGGTTAGGAGAGAACTGACTCCTGCAAGGTATCCTCTGACCTCCATATACACATGAGAAAAAATTAAAATATACCCAAGAACTACGCCCTCTGCCCTATGAGAAGGGATGTGATGTCTAGGGTAGATTCAGGCGCCAGGCTTTAAACTGTGCCTTTGAGGTGCCTTCTGCAGGTCGTTCCTGTGACTTTCCAGAAATGAGCACTGAGGGAAGGGAGTGGTTTCAGACCCAAGAAATGCCCTCAGACCTTGGGAATTAAGTACCACACCCAGGAGAACAACTCACAGCCAGACTCTGATGCTAAAGAGATGAAGTCACAAAGACTGGGAAGACTTAACTCTCAGCCCAGCAGTTAAGAGCACTAGCTGCTCTTGCTGAAGACCTGGGTTCAATTCTCAGCACCCACATGGTGTCTCACAACCACCTGTAATTCCAGTTCAGGGGATCCAGTGCTGTCTTCTGACCTCTTCTGGCACCAGGCAGGCAAGTAATGCACATGCATGAAAAACAAAACACTCATACACAAAAATCTAAAACAAAAAAATTATAAAAAACGAAGTCTGAGCCACACTTAATAGATGGTACACTTCTTTAATCCCAGCACTTGAGAAGCAGAAGCAGTTAGAGCCCTAGGCCAGCCAAGGATACATAGTTAAACCTTGTTTCCAAAAAAAAAAAAAAAAAAAAAGTCTGCACTGAAAGTTAATATAATTACTGTAGCAATAGAATTCATTTCATAACTGTCTAGCTGATACATGAAAATCACTTCCAAAATCTGACACCTCTATATTTTTGATACTTAAAACTCTAGGGCTACAGCACTCAATTGATTTTTTTTTTTTTCATCTTTTTTACGGTGAAAAATTGAAAACCTTCTGAGATCACCATCTACACTTCTGCTGAGTATTGCAGTGCTTGCAACCCTAGTCAATGCCATAAAACAAAAACACGATTAAACACTGAAAAACAATACAATATATGAATGGATTCAGCATCATGTGAACATGACCCTCAGCAGATGTGTCAGACTCAGGCCAGCTTTAAAGAAAGGATTTTAGCTCTAATAGCGTCAAAAAAAAAAAAAAAAAAAAAAAAACAAGGGATGATGGTAAAATGTTTTAGATTCCACACAACAGAAAACTAACAAGCACTTGGAGGAAGTGTTGTAGAAGACCTACATGTAAGGGCTAGGCACTTCCTTAGGATGTGCAAGGCCCCAGGTTCAATCCCCAGTACCACACCTCATGCAAAAAGAACTATGTACAGAAATTGAGACATTTTATCAGATCGTGTAAAGATCAGTTGCCAGGTGTGGTGGTACACTGGGTATCCTGAGCAAACTACTGAGACTCCCAAAATAGTCTTCTCACCCTCAGTTAATCACTGACATGAAGCAATTATTGTTAAAATCCCAATAGTGTGTGTACAATGCACGTGCCTGTGTGGGTATGGCAACCAGAGACTGACATCAAATGTCTGAGCTATCTCTCACTGTAACTATATTCACCAAGTGTGAGCCACCCCACTACAGCTGTATATTCACACACAGTGTGAACCACCCCACTACAGCTGTATATTCACAGTGTGGACCACCCCACTACAGCTGTATATTCACCCAGTGTGAACCACCCCACTATAGCTGTATATTCACAGTGTGGACCACCCCACTACAGCTGTATATTCACAGTGTGAACCACCCCACTACAGCTGTATATTCACACAGCATGAGCCATCTCTATTTTTCACACTCCAGACTCCATTTCCTTGTTTTTACTATCAGCTTCACCTTCACAACAGTGTTGAATAATGAACACTGGAGCTTTCGTGTTAAGATCCTGATGCAGGTACTCTTGACAGTTTTATTAATCACCACCCAAGGTGTTTGAGGCAGCAGCAGAAGAGGCAAGGAGCTCATGAATCATGCAGCGCTTCAGGCTGCAGTTACAAGCCCCACTGTCGTTTAACGTGTCTCATAGCAGCTCCAAAGGAGCAGCCATCTAGACACCTTTCCACAGTGACTTATTTAAAAGGTGTGTGAGAGTGATGTAGTTGGCTGGTGAGTACCTTTGAGGCATCTACCAGGCCCCAAAAATCCTTTCCTCCTCTTCATGGCTGCCATGCATTTTGAAGGTGAAGTTCTTGGTTCCAGAACAGCCCTGGATCTCCACTCTGCTCATCGCAGACTTCCTTATTCCAGTCTCCGCACCTGGAGGAGGGCTGGGCTTCTGCTTCTTTTTCTGCTATTAGCTGGAGGCAGCAGGGCCTGAAGGAGAGGCCATCCTATGTGTAAGTTGCCCATGCTTTAAAATCTACCCTAGTGCCCTCCTCATAGATGGATGGGACTCCTGTGACAAGTCTTTCTCTCAGGCAGCTGGACTTGCCCCCAGAGCACATGATGTGAGAACAGCTGTGTATCTAGGTGGCCGCAGCATCTGGGGTGGCGTGATCTGAGAGTACTTCCCAGTAAGGACAGCCATCCCTAACTGGGGGCCCAGCTAACCCTTTCCTTTTGAGACTCATGTAGCCCAGGCTCACTTCCATCTTTCAGTGTAGCCAAGGATACACTTTAAATGTTCCTTCTGCTCAAGTTCCGGGATTTCAGATGTGTACCGCCATCCCCCGTTGTGTAGTGCTGGGGATGGAGCAGGGGGCTGTGTACATGCTGAAACACTCCCTCAAGCCCTGAACTGACCTATAAAGAGAATGAGCAGGAAGCTGGGGCAGGGAAAGGCAGAAGCTGAAAGCCTCAGTCAGGTAGCCAACAGAAACCAGAGGCAGAAAGGATGGGAAAGGAGGCATCCTGTGTAAGTGAAGCTCAAGTGTGAGCCAGCTCAGAGAAGGGCAGGCAATTGACCCGGAGATTCAGCTGTACACAGATAGAAACCAGCAAGTAGCAGTGTCCTCAAGTGGTGACAGGAAGGTCTGTCGCTTCTTGTTCACTGATAATAGCAGTCCTGATCTCTCCCAGCATGGGCAGCACCAGGCAGGAACTCCCAGGGAGAGAAATGGTAGTGAGCTCTCCTCTCCACTCTCCCAGAGGAGCATGCACTGACTAGAGCCAGATCCCTGAGCTGGGCTGAAGGTTGCCATGTCCTCTGGAAGACTCTGAAGACAGTGAGGACTTTAGTCTTCTGTGTTCTCTAGGAGTGAAGGTGAAGACTTCCCAGGAAGACTTCCAGGCCTTTGTCCCTCAGATTAGGATCCCACTCAAGGCCTTAATAGATCACTTCCCCCTTTGCCCTGTGTGAGCACCAGCTAGCCACAGAAAGGGCACAGCCTGGCCTGCAAGTCCTGGGCCTCAGGGAAGGTAGAGGGCCACCACCACATAGATGACCCAGCTGGTAGACACAAAGACCCCAAAGAGCAGGCTGAAGAGCACCAGTGAGCGGGCCTTCCTCGAAGCCTCCTCTGCCTGTGCCAGGTCACCCCTGCCCAGGGCTGCTCGAGTCTGTAATAAAACAGATCAAGGTGGGATGCATCAATAGTGATCCCCCTCTACCCACCCCAAACCCCACCAGCACACCTTCAAGACCAAGCCCACACCACAAGCCAGAAACTGACAGCCTGGGAATATCAGAACCTAGGCCCACAGCTCATAGAGGGGCAAGAATGGTGCAGAGGTCCCCCGGCAGTAAGGAATACCTCCAGACTCCTCTTATGCCACCTCACAGCAGCCCTCAACTGGGGCTCCTTTCACCTTGCTGATGATGACATGAGAGCTCAGCAGGCTTAAATGGCCTCCCTGGGCCACACAGCTGCTGCTGAAGACAGAAAGTCCTACCTCTGAGCTGCTTGCTCCCCTAGTGCTGGCTGGTGCTAACCTGAACTGGGACCTCGCCCACCACCCTGCCACTCTACTTCCCAGCAAGGCTGGACTGTTACCTGCAAATACACACACACACACACACACACACACCCCGCAAGCCTTGCCTTCTGCCAATCAGAATGTCATTGCACCTTCATCAATGAATCCCCCAGTCATGGGACGGTAATGGAGGGAGGTGGTGGGGGAGGGTACTAGTGAGTGAGAAAGAGGGTGGATGGAGATGAACCGCTATGCAAATGAAAGAAGGAACAGGGAGGAAGGCAAGTGAATAGAAAATAGGAGGCGGGTAAGCAAAAAAGGCAGGGGAAGTAGGTGACCAGATGAACTGATAGCTGATAGAGGAGTGGAGGGTGGGAGGCTGAATTGAAAGAGCAATGTGTCTTAGCAAGAGGGGGGTGGAGAGATGAATTAACTAACAGCTGAGTAGTTTTGGGCCACAAGTCAGAGGTGTGAGCAGGCAGATGGGAGCTAGACAGAGGGGACTTGAGGCAGCTGGATGGATCTACAGACTATAGGCTGCCAAGATAACCCAACAGGGCTGGGCAACACCTTGGGCCTCATCAATCACTTATACCTTTTCTGTTTTAGAACTTGCCAGAACAAATCCTTAATAACGAGGGTCACAGGCAAAAAGGGAGAGGAAAAGAGACAAGAAAGGCCAGGCCCCACAATAGGGCTTATTCCTGGGTCCTACCCAGCTGCTGGTCCTGGGTGGGACCCTACACATCCCCACAGGAGCAGAGGCTCCTCTCTTATGGCTGTATCACTTACCTCATGGGAGTAGACAATGGCAATAAGCCCTGTGAGCAGGCAACAGAACAGGGTCACCAGTACTGACTCCATCATGAAGTCCTTGGGCAGAGGCCTGTGTTCCACTTGCACAGGGGCAGGCCCACCTGCCATGGGGCTACCATACTGCAGGGCAGAAGCACTTACATGAAGAACCAGGGGATGGCCCCCTTCCCCTCCTCACATCTACCCCAGGCCCAGGAGTCCCCTCATCTCTGCCCTGCACACACTGCCGAGCCCAGGGCTGGCCACCATAATGCCTTATCTGCCAAGGAGCTAGGAAGGCTCGGAGAATCCACCTGTCCACTGGCCACCCACACACAGCCTGCCTGCCTGCCTTTTTGTCAGCAGGGTCTCTCTATGTAGCCCTGGCTGGCCTGAAACTCAAGAGATTCACCAGCCTCTGCCTCTGTGTAGTCCTAGTGGGGGTGGAAGCAACAGAACCAGGAGTTCTCAGCTGCACAGTGGATTCCGGGCCAGCCTGGGCTATGTAAGGCTTGTCTTTACTTTAAAAAAAACAAAAAAAGCCAGGTGGTGGTGGTGCACACCTTTAATCCCAGCACTCAGGAGGCAGAAGCAGATGGATTTCTTCGAGTGGAGACCAACCTCAAGAAAGCTCTAGCCACCTAAGTGCAGGTCTGCCTTGGGGCGTGCTCTCACCGCGGGAAAGGGAAAGGAGGCTCCGGTGGCAGCGGCAGCTGTGGGTGGGAAGAGCGGGCCAGGCGGTGGCGGGTAGAGTGCGGCGGGCCCTGGCGCGGGCTGGAACAGCACTGGCACCTGCGGGAAGGGCGGGTAGAGCAGCGCCACAGCCTTGGGGTCCGGTGGAGCATAGGGTGGGGGCTCTCCCACGAAGCCGATGGGCGGCACAGTGCCGCCGGTAGCCTTGGGCACGGGCCCCGCCTCGCCCGACGCGGAAGTGGGTTCTGTTTCCCCCTGTGCCGGCTCGCTCCCCTCTGCACAGGCAGTGGCCTGGTCCTCATCTGGCCTTGCGTTTTCATCCAGCAGCTGCGGGCGGCGTGGGAGCTGCGGGAGTGCTGGCTGTGAGGGGCTGCACGTGTCCTCTGCGGCTGGAAGGTCCTCCGGGGGTGCAGGGCTGTCGCCCCTCTTGGCGTTGGGACCTTGGGAAGAAAGCAGAGCTGTGAGGCCGGGCTGCTGATCCCCCAGCCCAGTTGCACCCAGAGCGGTCCTCCAGACAGCCAGGATTCCAGACAGATGCTCCCCCACCCAGCCCCAAAAAGGTTCCTTCTGGTGGTGATGCCTCCTCTTGAACACAGGCAGAGTTTGACACATTTTCTGGCCTAGGGGACATTGACAAAGCACAAGTCGAACTTAAAAGACTGTGTCTTTGGGTCACCAGAGCTTGGGGAGGGATGCTCAATGGCGGTAGAGGGTCTAGAGTAGCCAAGAAGTTCTGAATGCGAAGGAAGGGAAGCTCACAATGCAGGGTACAGGACTGACTGATACTGCCCTTAGCAGTGGTCTTGTCAGGGCTGGGGAGATGTATTCCTTGGTGATGTGCCCGCCGTGCACCCATGAAAACCTGAGCTCAATCCCAATACATAAAAATTGTGGCAGAAGTTTGCCATCCCAGTGGTGGAGACTAGCTGCTCCCTGGTCATCCCCCCCTCACTTTAGCCTAATTAATCTAACAGCCAGTGAGAGACTCAAACAGCAGAGTAGGCAGCTCCAGAGAGATAATACTTGAGGCTGACCTATGGCCTCCCCTCTTGGGGAAAGAATAAGGACAAAAACATTCATGATGGGAAGATTCATGCAGTGTGCTTTAAGCACTTTTTAAAATGTGTTTATTTTTATGTGCATGAGTGTTTTACCTGAATGTGTGTCTGTGCATCATATGCATTTGGTATCTGTGGAGGCCAGAAGAGGACATTGAACCCTCTGGAGCTGGAGTTACAGATGATTGTGAGCTGCCTTTTGGGTGCTAGGAATTGGCCCCAGGTCCTCTGCAAGAGCAGCCAGTGCAAACCCCTGAGCCATCCCTCCAGCCCAAGCCATGCTTTTTTAAAAAGCTTGTCTCTCCAGCTGATTACAACTAAAACCCCTGAGACAAAACACAAAACCACCAGGGGTCACTGAAAGTGAGAACAGCAGGTAGGCACCTCATCTCAGGCTTCCTCACAGCCCTGAGCCCAGAATAAAGGAATATCCCCACAGGAAGAACTGAAGGGCTACCCTGGACTTCTTGAACATTATATGTGAGCTGAGTGAGCCACTATCTGGTCCCTTTGCCTTTATTGTCTCTGGTCCTGAAGGACCCCAAGTCCTGAACACTCTAGAATTAATTCCCACAAGTATGGAATGCAGACCTGAGCAGCAGGTGTAGGAGCAGACCCACACACTAGCACAGGACCCTGGGGGATGAGCTAACCATGGAGAAGCCACACACAGAAGGTGAACCAGAACCGACCACATCTCAGCACCCAAGGCACTAACTTGAGTAATCTGCAATGTGAAGAATTAGGACTGTGTGAGCATTCTTCAAGAAAAAAACAAAGTTTGTGCATTTGGGGGTGGGGGTGGGGTGGAGGACAAGACCTGCACTTAGGATTGCTACAAGACCTTATCTCAAAAATAAGAAGAAGGGCTAGCTGGATGGCTCAGCATGGTAGAGCTTGCTGCTGGGTCTTGAGTTCAATCCCCAAGACTCACATGGTAGGAGAGGAAAGACCCCTGCAAGTTGTCCTCTGATCTCCACCGTGAACCATGGAATTCTAGTGTTTGTGCAAGCATGCCTGTGCACACACACATACAGCATAAAGAGGAGAGGAGGAGGAGAAAGACCAACAAGAAGAAATATATAAAAACCGAAGGAAAAGCAAGCAGAGCAGTGGTGGCGCATGCCTTTAATCCCAGCACTTGGGAGACAGAGACAAGTGGATCTCTGTGAGTTCAAGACCAGCCTGGTGTACGGGGTGAGTTCCAGAACAGCCAAGGCCACACAGAGAAACCCTGTCTTAACCCTCCCCACCCCCTCACACACTAAAAACCTAACACATACCAGCTCTGATGCCCAGACACTGGGAACATAAGAAAAAGCACCTTTGTTCCATAAGGTAAAGGGAAACACACTTAAATTCATCAGAAAGCCACATTTTATAAAGAACCAAGTCCCAATTTTAAACTAAGTTATTAATTATCTGAATTTATTTCATTTATCGAGACAAGTTCTCATTCTGTATCCCCAGCTGGCCTGGGACTCACTATGTAGACCAGGCTAGCCTCAGACTCATAGAAATCAGCCTGTGCCCTGGCATGATGGGGGCTTGAGGACTGTCTAATATTTGAAAAGAGATCACAACACACATTTCAGTTGGTATGTCTGGTGTATTTGAACAAGATTTCAGAGTTAAAACATTAAGAAAACTTGCCAAAGGCTGGGATGTAGTTCGCTGGTAGAGAGTGTGCCTGGCATTCATGGGACCCTGGGTTCAATCCTCAGTCCTGGGGGAGGAGGAAGGGATGGAAATGTTTTGGGGGGTTGGTTTTTGCTGTTGTTGCCCCCTCCCCTCACCAGGTTTCACTGTGTAGCCCTGGCTGTCTTGGAATTCACTCTGTAGACAAGGCTGACCTCTGGGATAGCTCACTGGGAAAGAACACTTGCTGAACACATGTGAGGACCTGGGTTCATATCCACAGCACCCACAGAGAAATCAGGAGTCTGTGGGAAGTGGAGGTGGCACCAGAAACCTCAGTGTGGTGGAGGATGACTAAAAACTTCTGAGACCCAGGCTGGATAAGAAACTCCAACTCAAGGGAATAAGGGCAGAAAGTGCTAAACACACCTCAAGTCCCCCTCTGGCCTCTGTGCCCACTGTGAACCCACTAGTCACACATGTACATATACAGAAACACACACACACACACACACACACACACACACACACACACACACACACACCACTGGCACGCTGGAGCTCCTTCCTCTCCTGTAGGGAAATCCTCGAGCATCCACTGCCAATGAGCCAGAAGGAACCTACTCTATTCCTGGACAAACCACAAACAATGGGTAACTCCAGGACCAGCCTGTCAGTCCCAGGAGTCCCCACCTGGGTGAGCTGGCCTGAGGGCAGGTGCAGGCATGGGACCTGGGTGGGACCCACTGCTCTGGGCCTCTTTCCATCAACTATAAAATAAGGATAGATAATGGCGATCTCAGTGTTACAAAAATTACACAGAGCAGTTGCTCCAGCCCTGGGCTCAAGTCTTCCCCACATCTTAAGAAGCCTCCATGCACAGACCAGGGAACCAAGGGCTCAGCAAACACTTTAACTAGTTAAAGCCACTGCGGAAGGACCAGTTCCCTCCGGGACGAGGTCATTGCAGAAATGCCAGGCTCCTGACCCAGTTATCGTAACAAAAACCACAGTTTCCCTGGATCCCGCCAGCGCAAATACCTGGCCCGATGGCTAAGAGATTGGGGCCTCCCAGTAAACAAATCTACTGGCTGAGCCTGCCTCTGTGGCCTAGGGTTCTCGAGTTCTCGACATCTGAGCCTGGAGCGATAGGAGATGGGATGGAGCAGCTCCAAGGCCTGGGATGTTCTAGAAGGGGGCGGGCACAATGGAATTCTGCTAGTCACCTCAGCATCCTCTAAAGCGGGTGCAGGCGATGCAAGGGGCACACAGGCATCTGATCGCGAACCTGCGTGGGTCCCAGCACCACTTCATGCCCCTCAAGCCTGGGACTCCCTAGTGAGCGCGGGGACCCGGAGTCCTTCGCTTGGATGTGTGGCCGCGATGGGGACTCTACCACGGAGCATCCAGGCATGCCTACCCAATTTCTGATCGAGCCTGCCAGACCTCTGGGGCCTCAGCCTGGCCCCGGGAGTGAACAAAGCAAACCCACACTAGATGGAGTTAGTTCTGGGCGGGAAATGCAGAGCCACCTGCTGCTGCCAGGACACCTGCTGTCTACCAGGGGCCCATCCTTCCCCAGATGTCCCGCAAGAAAGAGTGAGAGTTCCTGAACTTTTCTGCCGAAGCCTCTTAGCTCCCAGGCTCTGGAAACGGGTGTGCCCCGACCCCAGTGTCGCCTCGTTCCTGCCTGTGCCCTAGGTCTCTACGCTTTATCCTCTGTACCCGGCGCCCCTCACCTGCCTCCATGGCCCGATCCGCGTGGGTGCGCGCCGGCTATGATGCTCCTGGCCTCGAGCCTGGGTCCGCCCCACTCGGTTGACGGTGCCGGCTCGGGTTTCCTGGTGCCTGCTGTGCAACAGGTTAATAATTGACCGCCTTGTTTGTCCACGGCTGTGTCAATACCTCGCTCCCTCACACCCTGGCGCTTGCAACCTACTGCGCATCCCCTCCTCTTGGGCCAGTTACCGCTCTGGCGTACCCCGAGGGCAGGATGCCTTGATCGAATCCTTTGCGGAGTTGCAGGGCCTGGACGTTGGGAGGGGAGGGATCCTCAAAAGAAGGGGGCAGGCAGGAGGCTCCTGCATTTCCCTCAGGGAGGGGTAGAGCCAGGAGGGAGACCACGGGGAAAGGGGAGACCTGGACCAAAGTCAAATTGTATAGCCACGTTTGTGTGCGTGTGCGAGTGCGTGTGCATGTGCGTGTGTGTGTGTCGGCTTCCAGCTCCCTGTTCCAGAGACGCCAGTAGTGTAAATTTCATCTAAAGGCTGAGGTTTAAAACAACACGTGCCTAACTTTCTTCCCGAGATGCACCAAGCCGAAGAATGTACAACAGGTCTGAACCCAGTCACCTGAAAATACCACACTTAAACCAAGGCGTGCTTGGCCGCCTTTTGTATGTTCACAGCTGAGACCCAGACAAAGAAGAAAGTCGTGTCCGGCGTTCCGTTCCGTTCACGCAGGTCGTGGAAGAAACCAAGGGTCACTCTACCCTGAATTTTAGCCTGAGCAGCCTCAGGGGAGTCAGCCTCTGGCGAACTGACTGTAGTGTCACAAAAAGGCTTTTTTTTTTTTTTAATTGTTATACAATTCACACCTTTAGCAAGTCAATTTCCGCATACCAAAACCTCTTATCTGAAGCTCCGCCAGGAGACAAATGCCAAAGCAATTCCCAGTCACTGGGCGTCTCCGTTTTCTGAATCCTCCCACAACCAAGTTTTGCATAGTATTTGATCCTTTAGGAAACTCAGATAAGATTTACATATATCAAATGGAAGGTATGGGACACAAAAGGTAGCTGTCACAAAGGCCGATCAAAGCCAGGTGTTAACACTCCCGGAATCAAACCAGTTTACAGGGGAACTCTCGCTGTAGAGGAAAATGCCTAGGAACTGAGAATGAGCAGCTGAGAAGGAGGGAGCAATTGGCCAGAAGCTTACCGGGATGAAGAGGGATGGCTAATAGAGTTTACAAAGAAAGCTACTCTGACCCTGCAGAGCCTCTGTATAGAGAAATATACTCTCTCCAGGAGCTGAGTATGTGGTTCAAGTTCAGCTCATCCACATGATCCAGAAGCACCTAAACTAAAAAGAGACATTAGAAATAAAAGGAAGAGGTGAAAAGATGACTCAGAGGCTAAGAGCATTGCTGCTCCTGCAGAGGAGGGGAGTTTGGTTCTCGGTACCCAAACTTCAGCTCCAGGGATCTGACGCCCTCTTCTGGCCTCGACAGACACTACACTCACTTATGCATACACAAACACGTCTTAGTTACTCTTCTATTGCTATGAAGAGGCAACTTTAGAAGAATTAATTGGTCTAAGGTTTATAGGAAAGTGAGACCAACCAGAGTTGCAATGAGGCAAAAGGATGAAGCTTTGTTGAGATATGAACTGCCAGGCTGGCTCTGAGAGAAGGGAGAGCACCCAAAGGGGAGTTTGAGATTTTATGGCATAGTTTAAGTTGGGTGGGGTAGCATTAAGGGGGAAGGGAACTGATGACAGAAACAGAAATTTTTACTAGAGGGCTTGTCATTAAGATAGGATGAATGCCAGGTGGTGGTGGCACGCCCCTTTAATCACAGCACTCAGGAGGCAGAGGCAGGTGGATCTCTGTGAGTTTGACACCAGCCTGGTCTACAAAGTGAGCTCCAGGACATCCAAGGCTACACAGAGAAACCTTGTCTCACAAAACAAACAAATGAATAAATAAATAAATGAGAGGGGGAGGAAGAGACCATTCTCGAAATTAGTTTTGGTAGCAGAAGTCTGGGGTATTGACGGAGTGCTTGCCTACCATGCATGAAGCCCTGGCCTCCAGCCCCAGCACTACACAAAAATGTGGAGTGATGATGCACTCAGGGGACAGGGCAAGAAGACCAGATGTTCAAGGTCATCTTTAGCTGCATAGCTAAGTGTGAGTGTGGCCTGGAATCTACGAGACTCTGTCTCAAAAAAAGAAAAATTACAAAACTATGGGAAGCTTCTGTCTTTTGGGGGAAGGAATGATGAAGACCTGAGGACAAACTCATGGACCTGAGGTACCATTCAATAAAGTTCCCATGTCACAGAAGAGGCCACAGTAAGCATTTTAGGTGATTGACACTGGAGACATTCTGACAGCCCCTGCCAACAGAAACATCAATAGCACCTGTCTGCATCATTCCAGATGTACTGTACTGAAATACCCGCAGAGGGCATGGACCCTCACACCCCAACTCAGGAAAGGCGCCCCCCCCCAAATCACTCACGAGAAGCGGTCTTGATGCAAAAGCATGAGGTCTTTATATTCCAGTGCACTGGGGTCTGCAGCCATACTCCACGTGGGGTAGAGGACTGGGGAACCCTGGGTACAGGGTTCAGACAGCTTTTATAGGGTTACAACAAAGCCCGCTCATCACAAACCAATTATTTCATAGCACCCAGTGTGGACCAATCAATTTGAACTATCCAAGCCTGCGCTTTGCCCAGGAAGTCTGCTTTCGATAGGGCTCCTGAGTAGTGTGGCACAGTTCATTTCCTGTTCACATTCACTCACAGGTGCTGTCAGTAACCCACCCTGTCATAAACAGTCAAGAATGACCTTTTGCCTACTCACTGCTAGGGGGCAGAGTCTAGGGAAAATTAGGCTAAATTTTTCCATCCTTACAGTACTACCATACCCAGTGGTGAGTCCTCACACCAGACTCTGACTGTCACTGGATAAGCAACCTTGCTGGAGAGTGCAGTGGGGTCAGGCCACACCCAGAACCACAGGGAGACTTCAAACTGATGCACTAAACCACGAAGTATTGGAGCAATGTGTTTCTGACTATATACAGCTAGATTCCACATCTGGAATTCTGCAGCTGAGCAAAATCGTACAAAGGGCATTGAAAAAAGGTTGAAGATTGAGCTAAAAAGATGGCTCAGTGGTTTGTTGTGAAATACTTTGTGCACTGTCAAAATGTGTCATTCTGATAGGTTTAATAAAAAGCTGAATGTCCAATAAGGAGGCAGGATTTCTGGGAAGAGAGAACACAGGGAGGGAGAAGGCAGAGATACCAGGAGACACAGAGCAAGCAGGATAGGCAATACAGAGATGAGGTAATAAAGCCACAAGGCAGAAAGTAAATTAATAGAAATGGAGGAATTTAAGTTATAAGAGCTAGTTAGAAATAAGCCTAACCTAAGGCTATGCCTTCACAGTTAATAATGTCTCCATGAGGGTTGGAAAGATGGCTCAATGGTTAAGAACACTGGCTGCTCTTCCAAAGGACCCGGGTTCAAATAAGTGTCCTGTGTGTGTGTGTGTGTGTGTGTGTGTGTGTGTGTGTGTGTGTGTGTGTGTGTGTGGTTTTTGTTTTGGTTTGGTTTGGTTTGGTTTTGTGTGTGTGTGTGTGTGTGTGTGTGTGTGTGAGAGCTGGCAGCCCCCAAAATAGACTGACTACATATATCATCCAACATGGGGACTAGAATATCCAAACATAAAGCTGGGTGGTGGTATGTATGCCTTTAATCCCAGCCCTCAGAAGACAGAGACAGATGAATCTCTGTGAGTTCAAGGCCAGCCTGGTGTACAAAGTGAGTTCTAGGACAGGCTCTAAAGCTACAGAGAAACTCTGCCTTAGGGGAAAAAAATCCAAACATAGGGCCTGAGAAAATTACAAAAAGTTCTGGACAAGGAGCCAGATGTGGCTTTCTAATCCTGCAGTCTCTCAGATGAGCCAGTGCTCCACATACAGAGGTGTGGCTACTGGTCGGTCATTGCCTGTGGGTTGGAGCCAGCCACCAATGTCATATGCCAGCACCATGCCCTAAGTTAAGCCATGTATGCTGAAGCTGACAGATTCAGATGGGAAAAAAAAAGTCTACAGGTTACAGTGTGTTTAATTATGGGCATAGGTTTAAGAAAAAAGAAAAAGTATAGTCATAAAAAAGAAATAGTTTAAAATTATAAAGTCTTTAAATAGAGAAATAAAGTAATAAAAAAAAGAATAAGCCTTTGTAAGGATGGGAAATGTTATAACACAGGGAGTTTAAACCTTACATGGTACCTTGTTAATTTTGAATTTTTTAAATGCTAATTAACAGACAACACCTGCTGGAAGATATTGGCTTGTGAAAGGGACTGCTGAATTAAACCAACCTGTATACTTTAGGAATGTCTTAATCTTAAAATGGAAGTCAAAAAATGTATTGAGTTGGGAAAAGGTTATGCTTTTGTTTCCACAGGAAATGAAAGACTGTGGATTCCTTCCAGGTTAATAGAGATCAGATTTGACTCGGGGAGACCTCCTGAATATTTGGCTACAGACATGGGAGAGAAAGCCAAAAAAGACTACAAGACCTGTGATGTGTAGGCTGACCCCTCTGCATGGGAACAGCTCAGAGACAAGATGAGACATGATAAATCTTATTGGCTACAGAGTCCTCATGACTTATTATTATATGCCATTCTTGCATATGACAAGGATAGAGATTTTTATTACAATTTGGTTATGCAGTCCAAACAGACTTATACATTGACAGATGCCTTTTGCCTGCTCAAACAAAAATCTTTAACTGACTTGTGCACACCACACATAACATATTTGCAGATATGTATGTTACCTTTAAAAGTATATGTGTTTTCAAAGCAAGGGGACCAGACACCAATGAAAACAGGTGGCCCAGGTGATCCAACATCTCAGGGTGCCTCTGTTGCAGCTCCTCAGAGTTCTGCATGCAGAGCAGCTTCAAGGATGCAGGCTGAAATGGGTTTAACCTCATAGAGTATGCCAGCCAGGACTACAGATAAGCCTTACACTTTCCCATTGCGCGAAGACTGGACAACAAACATTATGGCTAGTTTTCCAGGACTTGACCATTATCCTAATTTTCTCAGGGTCCCCCAAAGATATCAAATCCCCCCTCACAGAGCAAAAAAGCAGTCTAAAGAACACAA